GCACATGCACATGCACATGCACAGCTTCTTCTTCCGGTTCTCGATCTTGAAACGGCACCGCGGCGAGATTGGCTTACCGGTGCAGCGGCATGCACCAGCCACATACATGCTCACACTCACACTGACTAGGTACAGTCACCAGTAGCCACTGCATGGATGGCCAAAGCGTAGAAGCTGATCGGAAGAAAAAAGCCAGCAGCAGGAGGATCGATGCGCTTGCGGGGGCGGAATCCGAAAATCACTGTTGCCACTTTCGTCGCGGCTACAGAGACCTTAGTGCTGTACCTACAGTCCGTCCGTCTCACAGTCATGCATCACATCAACTCTTCTCTCGCTTCTCTACCAGTGCGCAGAGACGACAGATGTTCGCACGCTAGCGGCAGACATAAAGTAGCATCTTCGCACATGTTCCAACAATGGATTGTGGACGTACGTCGGCGCTCAAATGAACAGGCTTTCCTGGCATGAGAGAGCCGAGGTCACGATGTTCATGGTCACCTGCCATACTTTGACAGGTACATACCACGCCCACGCCGCCCTTGAGCCAATGAAGCACTCCCTCTGTGTGACTCGGACCTTGGTGACATTCAAATTGAGAACCACGCAGCGGGAGTCCTTTGGCCGAACCGCGCCGGACATAAAGTTTTGCTGCCGCAAATTGATAATGCTCATGCTGCTGCGCATTTCCGTGCCCAGATGGTCTAAGGAAGCCAGACAGACAGTCACACGTCTACTCGGGGGGTCCGACCGACGCCTTCTGCGTTATAGCAGAATAGCTGGGAGTAGCAACTGCCATACGCTCCGACAATCACGGATGAGAGAGTGTGACGATCAATCCGATACATGGGGACGGAGGCAAGCAGACAGCAGCTCGACCATCTTCGACCTTCATGCACACCTCACTGCACACCTCTCGACGAGCCACTCATCTCGATTTGTTGACCCGAGATGAGTGATACTTTCTCCGGCTGACTACTACTCTACTACTACTACACTACTACTGCAACACAAGCGTTGTCTCGTTTCTGCAGCTCTGCGACAGCCAGCTAAGCAGGTGCATGCATGTACAGTCGTGAGTGAGCAGAGACTGGGCGCCCTGTTTGCTCATCAGTCGCTGCCCGCCTTATCTCACATTGTCAGCTGCTGTAGTTCGTTTTGTAGGCGAGCGGATGAAGCACGAGCTCAGTCATGCGGGAGGGCCTGCACGCTGAGCACAGTCTGCATGCCCGCCCAGAATCACGAATGTCAAATGCTGCAACGTCGATATTTAGCTCATTTTCTCTCAAGGGCCGCACCGGGCAAACCTCTGCGCATGCAGAGGCCTAAGCGCGCCTCATCAGCAGACTCTTCGACCGCTGTTAATTGTCATCGTGTGCCACTCTTCGATTCGGTCTGCTTAATTGCGCGCGCTC